GGAATGAAAGTGAGAAAGCATTATTGTAGAGAAATGATTGGAAGGGAAAACAGTTTGTTGATTAAATAGGGAGATGGGGAGATGCAGAGATAAAAAGATTCTGCTTTAATTTGATGGAAGAACTGAATTTGAATCAGATTAATGAAAGGAAAATAAGATTTCATTGAAATGATTGTTAGGGCAGGATATAGTTATTTTCTTTGTCTTAGAAGACTCAAATATTCATATTACTATTGTTGTTGTTGTTATTATTATTATTATTATTTTGAACGCATCAGTGATCAACCATGTCCAGCTGTAACAACCCTCTCATATAGAGACTCCTTTGGCTTAATAAATTTTATTATTTTCTCTACAATCGAACATTAAAAATATTAGTTAAGACATCAGACATACTGGGTTGAAATATTACTCCTTAACAATCAGTAGCCATATTCAGTTCTACGCATAGTCTCGTTTCTCTAACCAATAATTAAAAGAGTGCCAAGTTTGATAGAAATATGTATCCTCTTTCTCCTTCGGAGACAAGGTCAATCTGTCCATAACCGTGCAATTCAAAATCTTTTAAATAGAAACTCCTCAGTATCTTTCCTACCCTAATCTGCAAGCATGAGGTGGCCAGCTCTATCATCTTGCAGCAATGCAAGATGCTGGGCAAGTTCATACAACCTGAACGCCCATATTGCAATATCAGCACATGGAACAGTCAATATTCTTGTTTGATTAATAGTTATCTATTAAAGATCTATGAAAATCTTTTGAATTATCATTGACATAATTGTACTTTGCTGGTTTTACTACATGATATGTTATTCATATATTTGATGTATATAATAGTAAGTTTTTAAGTGCATTTTACATTGTAAATTTAATAAAAGTATGATATATTATTTTTAATGTTCCTACCACAGACATTGTGAATGTTGCTAATAAGGATCTATTGGCCTAGGCTAAGGTCAAGCTACTACATTGCGATAAAATGTAGTTTGATAGTTCTGATTCATTTATACTCCCTGCAACCTGCTTTGTTGTTGTGTTCTTAAAGGTACAATTGTGGTACTGGTGTGGTGATTTGCAAGTAATAGATAGAATGGATATAATGTCCACTCATCAACATCAGCACCATCATCAACACATTGTATCTATAGCTTTTCTTTCTACCCCTCTGAAGGTGCCCAAAACACCTTGCAAAGTTCTCCATTTAATTCCCACAACAACCACCCAATGAAGTTGTTTCGGCAAAGAGTCTGTGGCTTGCTCAAAGTCATCCTGTGGATTTCATGGCTGAGTGGGAACCAATATTCAGATCTCCAGAGTACCACTTCAGGACTCTTAACGACAACACTAAACAGCCTCTCATGTTATTTCATAAAACCTTAGATCTGCTACTTGTGTGAACTGCTACCTGCAAATGCTGTAGTTTAATGGGTTCAGGTCTGTCTTCATGTGACCTTGGTATGTGTCTAATCCTGGCTGAATCCATGGCATGCAAAGCATGTGCCACAACATAGACAGCATTGTAGATGTTGTTACTTTGTCCGGTCATGCTCATCTCAA